GCTCTTCCCCAAATCTAATCAGACAATAAACTGGTTCCTCTGTGGGTTTGGGTGGTTCTAGTGTATCCCTCTCCTAAATTCCTCTGCTTTTATGATCTTTTGTGGGTGTGAGAGGATGGGGGCTAAGCCCTGATTTTCCTGGGCCCCTTCCCATGTCCCGGCCCTGGCCTCCAGTGACTATTTTGTCTCTTCCCTCCCCATTTCCTTTATAGGTTTCGGTCTAAGTACCACCCAGATGAGGTGGGGAAGCGTCGGCAGGAGGCTCGGGGGGCCCTGCAAAACCGACTGAGAGTATTTCTTTCCCTCATGGAGAGTGGCTGGTTTGATAATCTTCTTCTGGATATAGACAAAGCCGATGCCATTGTTAAGATGCTGGATGCAGGTATGTGGACTTGGAGTCGGGGGGTGGGGCAGGGCGGGCAGTGGATGTCTGGTGACCAAGGTCTTTGTTGGTAAATAGAAGTAGGTTGATACAAAAGCAAGAGGCTGAAGGCCAGGGCCCCTAGATTGTGATCTCTGCTCCCTTACTTGGTAGCTGTAATTAAGATGGAAGGAGGTACAGAGAATGATCTACGCATCCTGGAGCAAGAGGAGGAAGAGGAACAGCCAGGAAAGCCCGGAGAGCCCAGCAAGAAAGAGGAAGGCCGGATTGGACCAGGCCCGGTGGATGGGGAGCGCAAGGCCAATGAGAAGGAAGACAAGAAGGAAGATGGCAAACAGGTCTGAGTGCTGGGGCTTCTGGGTGCTGCCTTTGAGTGCCGGGGGAAGAGAATGGAGCTGTTTCAGTGGTGGTGGGGTTCACAGCTGGAACCAGAGAGTTATGTATTGGGAGGGAGAGGGGTGAACTTATGGGCTCAGCTGTAGAGGGTGGGAGGGGCCCTCTGATAAAGGTTGATGAGGAGATAGACATCCCAGTGACTGTCTCTATGTGTAGGTCGAAAATGACAGTTCTAGTGATGACAAAACTAAGAAATCTGAGGGTGATGTGGACAAGGAAGAGAAGAAAGAAGATTCTGAGAAAGAAGCCAAAAAGGTAGGGAATCTCTTACATGGGCACATTGTCATGGCTGGGGTCCTGGTTATCTGGCTTACTTCCTCTTGCCATGGCTCCCACAGAGTAGCAAGAAGCGGAATAGGAAGCATAGTGGTGACGACAGCTTTGATGAAGGCAGTGTGTCCGAGTCAGAGTCAGAATCTGAGAGTGGCCAAGCTGAGGAAGAGAAGGAGGAGGCTGGTAGGTTTTATTTTTTGCTCCCAGTTTTTTGGGGAGGGGAGGTGAGAGGTTGATGAGATGGATGGGAGAATGGCCTTTTGGGAAACACGGGTGGGATGGGAGGCTGATAGTTTCTCTATCCTCCCTTCCAAAATCTATAATATTCATCAACTCCCACTACCTCCTGTGTAGAAGCAGCGCTCAAGGAAAAGGAGAAGCCCAAGGAAGAAGAAAGGGAGAAGCCCAAGGACACTCCTGGGCTGGAATGTAAACCCCGGCCCCTGCATAAGACTTGTTCTCTCTTCATGCGCAACATCGCACCCAACATCTCCCGGGCTGAGATAATTTCTGTGAGTGAGGAAAAATGGCATTGTGGGCAGGGATGGCACCCAGGCCCCATCCTTAAAGGGGTGGAGGTGTGAGGTGGGGAGAAGATAATCTGGCATTGCTTCTGATATACATTTCTATTTCTTTGATTAGAGAGGCCTCCTCTCCTTGGGCCCATGGTTTTCAAGGGCTGGTTTTGGTTGCACCATTTGTTTTCAAGTGCTATTACTCATGAGCTCTTTGTTAGTTTGTCCTTGTCCAAGTAAAGACTCAAGGACATGGGGACTGAAGGAGGAAGTGAATCCTTGAATCACTAAATGAGGTTTCTCTTTCTCTGTTTTTCCAGCTTTGTAAAAGATATCCAGGTTTTATGCGTGTGGCACTATCAGAGCCCCAGCCTGAGAGGAGGTGAGGAATGGAGAGAAGTGTGACCCTGAATACATTGGAGAAAATGTGCTGGGGAAGGTTAATGGCTAACATCACTTCTACCCCAGAATTATGGTGACATTTTTTCTTGTTTAGGTTTTTCCGTCGTGGCTGGGTGACATTTGACCGCAGTGTTAACATCAAAGAGATCTGTTGGAACCTGCAGAATATCAGAGTGAGTGCTGGGAGCGGGACTGTTTTAAGGGAGAGAAAGTGTGGCTCTCCTTCCTCAAAACAACCTCTGATCCCTTTGTTCATTGATTGCTTCATTCATTCTGCCCCATTTCATCCATGCAGTCTGCGCACTTTAATTGTGTACTGTTGTCTCTGGGCTAGGCCCTGGGACTGTTACGGTGAACATACCTGGTCCATGTCCTCAGGGAGCTCACAGCCTAATCACTGGTGCTCTCAGTAGGGCCATTCTTTGAGTTGCTGCTTCTTGGGCAAGTGTTGGTGAGCTTTCTGTTCCTTCCAGCTCCGGGAGTGTGAGCTGAGTCCTGGTGTGAACAGAGACCTGACCCGTCGTGTCCGCAACATCAACGGCATTACCCAGCACAAGCAGATAGTGCGCAATGACATCAAGCTGGCAGCCAAGCTGATCCATACTCTGGATGATAGGACCCAGCTCTGGGCCTCTGAGCCAGGGACACCTCCTCTGCCAACAGTTAGTGACTCTTCATAAAACTTTTTCAAAAGCAGCTGATACCTCCTCATATGCTGGGAGCATCTCTGGCCTTACATGATCTGTAGCACTGACTCCTTGCAGCACTTCCAGCTTCCAGCAGAACAGATTGGTGTTATTACTTGTGGGTTAGGGTAGAACAGATGCAAACATAAAGACAGATCCTGAGGCAGCAATAACAGGCTAAGTGAGCTTTGAATTCTTTGCCCCCCTAAGTGAGCTTTGAATACCTTGCCTTTTCAAAAGCTGTTCCTGGGCTACCTACTCCAAGAGGCTTTCTCTGCCTCACTTGTCTCTCTTCTCCCTCCCAACCAGAGTCTGCCCTCTCAGAACCCCATCTTGAAGAATATAACTGACTACCTGATAGAGGAAGTGAGTGCTGAGGAGGAGGAGCTGCTGGGGAGTAGTGGGGGGGCCCCACCTGAGGAACCTCCTAAGGAAGGGAACCCAGCGGAGATCAACGTGGAACGGGATGAGAAGCTGATCAAGGTGCCAGTGAGAGCAGAGTGTGGGATGAACAAGAACCTGGCTTGGGGTGGTAAAGGGGCAAGAGTGTGGTGAACTCATGGCTTCTCATTTCTCTTAGGTTTTGGACAAACTCCTTCTCTATTTGCGCATTGTGCATTCCATGGATTATTATAACACATGCGAGTACCCCAATGAGGATGAAATGCCCAACCGTTGTGGCATCATTCATGTTCGGGGGCCCATGCCACCCAACCGCATCAGTCACGGAGAAGGTGAGTTCCCCTGCCCGAGTCCCATTTGATTCTTTCTCCCTAGCTGCCTCTGTTGTTATTTCTGCTCTGGAGCAGTGCTTTGTCACCTTCTCTAACATTCTCCTTTTTTATTCCTTGATTCTCGCTCCCTTCTCCAACCTGCCATCTCTTCCCAAACCACAGTACTAGAGTGGCAGAAGACGTTTGAGGAAAAGCTTACTCCGCTGTTGAGTGTGCGGGAATCTCTTTCGGAGGAAGAGGCCCAGAAGATGGGTCGCAAAGACCCTGAGCAGGAAGTGGAAAAGTTTGTCACCTCTAACACCCAGGAACTGGGCAAGGATAAGTGGCTTTGCCCTCTCAGTGGCAAGAAATTCAAGGTCTGGGATATTAAGAGTTGTGTCTGAGAAAGGTGGGAAGAGGGGATGGAGCCAGGAATCTGCCTCAAGGCCTGGGAAGAAACTGCTCACTCAGATTAAGTGGGAGGGGAAGTGATTGGAGTGTTAAGGAACTGCTCTTTCTGTTCTGATTCTCTTTTTTTCACCCAGGGTCCTGAGTTTGTACGCAAACATATTTTCAATAAGCATGCAGAGAAAATTGAAGAAGTGAAGAAGGAAGTGGCATTTTTTAACAACTTTCTCACTGATGCCAAACGTCCAGCTCTGCCTGAAATCAAGCCAGCTCAGCCACCTGGCCCTGCTCAGAGTAAGATACGATCCACGACGGTCTGTCACAATACCTCTCTCAATTTTTCAAGGGTTTCTGGTTCTGTATCCTATTGTCTGTCCCCTGAAGTTTCTGCCCCACCTCAGGCCATATTCCTAAAAGACAGCCCCCTGCTCGCGCCACCGCCCCGCGCCCC